TATTTATTACATGTGCAGATGGTAGGAGAGTAAAAATAAAAGCGATCCTTGACTCAGCTTCTAATATATGCGTATTAAAGAAAAATATGAGCGATTTATTAGGGATTAAAAAAGAGAAAATAAAAACACCGATTTCAGGATTAAACGGATCGGTTCAAAACATTAATTGGAAATTAACTACATCCATTTCGAATGAAGATTTTAGTTTTAATGAATTAATTGAATTTTATGTGGTTGATAATATTACGGGGCTCACACCGCCCACTACTTTAGACATTTCACAAATAGAGATTCCTCATTTTTTGAAATTAGCCGATGAGTCATTTTATGAAGCTACTGAAGTGCACGCGTTGATAAGTTCTGATATTTTTTTCAAGGTTTTGAAACAAAATACGTATAAAATAAATGATGATCTGTTTTTTAAAGAGTCGTTATTGGGGTGGATAGCTTGCGGTAAACTTAAAGAAAGCGAAATTACTCAGGAAAGATATTGTTTTCTAACTAAAAATGATTCGTTACAAGATACACTAAAACTGTTTTTTGATTTGGAGGGGCTTGGGATTAAAGACGATCCAATTTTATAAGAGAATGATCAGGCCATGAAAATATTTAATGAAACTGTTGAATTCAAAGACGGTCGTTACATAGTGCAATTTCCATTTAGAAAAGACTATAATGAACTTGCTGATAATTATTCTTTAGCGAAACAACGTTTTCGAAGCTTATGGAAAAGATTTACGCATGACCCGGATCTCTATGATAGATACCGTGAAATTATACAGGATTATACAAGTCAAGGCATTATAGAAATAGTTAAACTTGATAGTATACAGGATGAATGTGAAAGACCTATATTTTATTTACCCCATATGGCCGTTAAAAAAGAAAGTTTAACAACATCGTTAAGAATTGTGTTTGACGCTGCTGCGCACGAGGTCAATGAACTCTCTCTCAATGACTGTTTGTGGCCAGGGCCCAATTTAAACCCCAATCTTTTGTATGTACTTATTGAATTTAGACTCAACCGAACAGCTTTCTGTTCTGTGAAGCAGGCTTTCCTTCAAATAGGTCTTGCTGAGGTACACAAAGACGCAGTAAGATTCTTTTGGAGCAATGATGAACCAAGTGTTTCTAAGGATCACAAATTAATTATCTTCCATTTTAATAGAGTGAACTTTGGAGTTAACTCAAGTCCATTTCTACTCGCTGCTACTATTAGGCACCATATCAAAAAATATGAAAATGATCTTCCTGTTATAATTCAACTACTAGATAGAAATCTTTATGTGGATGATTTATAAAGTGTTGGGACTTTTATGGAACACCAATGAAGATTATTTTTCTGTAGATACCAGAAGCCTCCTAAAATTCGTCTCCTCAAGCAAAAGTACAAAACGTTCGATACTCCAGGCTATAGGGAATATATTTGACCCTTTAGGGTTGATTTCATGCTTCACCATACGAATGAAATGTCTGATCCAAGAACTGTGGAGTGAAAAAATTCCTTGGGATGAATCCTTGCCACCGAAAATAGAGAAAGGGTGGATTAAATGGTGTGAAGAGATACCTTTTTTGGAAAATCTTAAGATACCTAGACTGGTTCTTAATTCTATATCCAAGGAGGATATCGTGGAGGAGATTCATAGTTTTTGTGACGCTAGTAAGAACGCATACGAAGCTACAGTATATTTGAAAGTTTACACTCCAAATGAACCGATCGTTAGACTTTTGACTTCTAAAAGCCGAGTAGCTTCTTTGAATAGTGTGACTCTGCCTAGATTGGAATTGCTGGGAGCTCTAGTTGCAGCTCGCTTGACATCTAAAGTTGAGAAGATTGTGAATCTAAAAAGGTCTTCAATTGCATATCATTGGACTGACTCTAAAATTGCACTCTACTGGATAAAGGGAAAGACAACTCGTTGGAAACAATTCGTTGCTAATCGAGTTAAAGAAATAGCCACTTTGACAGATCCAAACTCCTGGCACCATTGTGCAGGTACAGATAATCCTGCAGATATTCTCTCTCGTGGAATTAGTGCTGAATGTTTGGTTGATAGTTCCAGGTGGTGGACAGGTGCTGAATTTTTGATAGAATCTGATTTTCAAGAAACTTTAGAGCAATCATTTCCTGATATAAAATCCCTTGCAGAAAGTGAAAAAGGAACAATTTTCCGAGAAGCAAAAACTGTTTCCTCAACCGAGAGTACGGAAGAGACTGTTTTGCTAACTGATGATTCACAGATAAAATTTTTGAACTCTCAAATAATTATTATAAAATTAATCATATTTTGTGTTATATTTGCAGATTTCTTCATAATTGTAAGCATAAGGATAAGAAAATGGGACCCTCGACAGTTGACGAGGTAGAGTATTCTGAAAGTATCCTGATTTAGCATTTTCAGAAGACACTGGTAAATGAGAACAATTTTTCTCGCAATATTTGTAGCTTAAATCCCTTTGTAGATGGTTACGGTTTAATAAGAGTAGGTGGAAGGCTCGATAATGCTTCAGTACCCTTTGATCAAAAGCATCAGATAATCTTACCGAAAAAGTCCAAATTAAGTAAAATTTACTTCCATAGTTTACACAGGAAATTACTTCATATTGGCCCTCAAGGTTTGTTAAGTGCAGTTAGATTAAAATTTTGGCCTTTAGGAGGTCATAATCTTGCACGTCAAACTGTACATCAATGTGTAACATGTTTCACATCTAAGCCCTTCCTTTCCACTCAAATTATGGGTAATTTACCAAGTGAAAGAGTCAACATGTCACCCCCATTTTCCGTCACAGGTATAGGCCTGTGCGGCCCTTTTACTGTTAAATATAAACATCAACGTAAGGGTACTCTCAACAAAGTATATATTTGTATTTTTATTTGTTTTTCCACAAAAGCCATCCATCTTGAGCAGCTGACTGATTTGACTTCCGATTCGATGATTGCCACATTGAAACGATTTACGAGTAGACGCGGAAAATGTTCCAAAATCTATACTGATAATGCCACTAATTTTGTTGGAGCTAATTCTCAATTAAAGAAGTTTTATGGATTAATTAATTTTCCAGATCAAATTTTGGCTAATTATTTTACCTCTGAAGGCATAGAATGGAATTTTATTCCACCAAAATCACCCCATTTTGGTGGTCTTTGGGAGGTGGGTGTAAAATCAGTAAAACATCATCTTAAAAGAGCAGTTGGAAAATTTCATTTCACTTACGAAGAGATGGAAACAATAGTTATTCAAATCGAAGGAATTCTGAATAGTCGCCCCCTTTGCCCCTTAAGCGGTGATAATGACAGTTTTGATGTTTTAACACCAGGTCATTTCCTAATAGGGAGGCCTATAACATCAATTGTCGAACCAAATTTAACTGATCTCAATGATAATCGTCTAAGTCGGTGGCAGAAAACTACAAAAGTTGTACAACTTATATGGGAAAAATGGAAGTCGGATTACTTAAATACATTACAAGCTAGATCAAAATGGATGGTAACAAAAAATGATTTAAAGATAGGACAGATGGTACTTGTAAAAGAAGATTTCTTGCCTTTAAATACCTGGATTTTAGGCCGAATAATTTATGTTTATCATGGTTCGGATAATAAAGTGCGTGTAGTAAAAATTCGCACAAAATCTGGGATATTTAAAAGAGCTGTTTCTAAAATAGCTGTCTTGCCTATCGATACATAAAAAAAATACTGTATTTTTCATTATGTTATATATTCTGTTTTACATTTTAAAATGTTTATGTTTTATATTGTCAAGTTATGTAATATTTGTGTTTATTTTTTTAAATTTTATATGTTAAGTTCTTGCATGCAAACATTGCAAGGCCGGGCGGGATGTTGGCGCGCATGCGCGTCAGCGCCCCAATCGGCAAAAGATTTTGTAACTTCCACAATGACAGACGGCTCTCATGTAGCTCCGTCTAATTAAAAATAAAACTTCTGAAATCGCATTTAGCGATAATTAAAATAAATAAAAATAAATCATCTCTTTTTTTAAAGAGTGGTCCGTCTTATAAATTTTTCTCTTTACGAATATTCCATCATTATTTTAAATGTTATTCAGGGGCTTCACTTTTTAAATTTTGGACACTGTAATGAAATTTGGTAAGTATCGGTTGAAAATAATCAATATATACACACACATATATATATATACTTACCAAGTTGGATGGATAAATAAATATTGATGATTTCCACGCTGTTTGTTTGAATATGTGATTAAATTTGGGTAATTTTATCATGATTTCAAATTCTGGTAAAATTATTTCCTCGGTTAAATATACTTTTCAGTTTTGTATTTCTACTAAATCTGTGGTACTAATTAAGAACTATACTTTTAAAAACCAGAATTTCTGGTAAACCGCTACTATACGAGCTGAAAAATTATTTAAGTAATGGTTTGACTACCATATATTTTAGTTTCATACCAGAATTATTTTTTTTTTACCAGAAATGCTTAAACCATTCAAGTACAATTATTTTATCAGAAAACTTTTTCTCCGTGTGCAAATGGCCTCACCGCGTTAGCTATTGGCAAAGTACTTTTTAAGCAGCTTCTTCAAATCTGATTTTTTATTCTTAACAAAAGTAATTTTCACGCATAAATACGTAATTTTAGAGATCTTGAAAGATATTTTTAAATTTTAAAAAATAGTTTATGCAATTAGGATAAATCTTTTTTTACTTACAACGTGATCTTACACATCTGCATTCCCTCTAAATTATTCTAACAACCTTGAAAACAAACAAACAAACTTTATTGGGAACAAAAACAAACACATAAATACAAAGAATATATATTCGTCGCCAAGAGGAAAATCCTGTCCAGACGACAGAGAAAAGTAATATAATAAGTTTAAAATGGAAATTAAGAAAAAAAATACATGAAACTATGTAAAAAGATAACAAAAGTAACATAAGAAATTCATTTGGATTGGCACAAAACTGGTATAAAAAATCAAATGCCTTAAAGTGAAAAATAGAGATCTAAATCGTCGATGTTCATCACAAATTGAAATAAAGCACGCTTAAACGAAGAATATATTTGGATATTTTGCATTCCTGTCAGACACGTTAGTTTTTAATTTGTATATTAATTTATTGTTGTGTAAATAAAGTAAAATACGAAAAAATGCATTATGGCGAAATGGTAATAGATTAATTCTTGTATATATATATATTGGTGGTTGTTATATTTGAATTATTTGTATTTAGATAATCTATTATATATAATTCTCTTACGTGGCTCCCAAATTTTGGCTGTATTTCTTTTCCGCCGGTGGCAACGTTTGCTTTGTTTTGTTTACGTTTTGAAAACACCAAAGCATTCTGCCTTTTAATGATGTGTTTCTGATCTACTACATATAATTCTCTTACGTGGCTCCCAAATTTTGGCTGAAGTACTTTGTACAACTAAATAAGATTCTTTTCACAACATTTAAATATTTACTTTATTTTCTTCATATATCAGTCGGCAAAGATTTCTGTTAGGTTAAAAAACATTTCGCTAAAAAAATATCGCAGGTATTAGTCTCATACAACAACGCCCCCTATATTTCGTTACGATCGCGAATTCTAAAAGAAATAAAAATAAACAA